ACCACCACCACCGCCGCCGCCAGCAGCACCAGCAGCACCAGCAACAGCAGCAGCAGCAGCATCAGCAGCAGCAGCAGCAGCAGCAGCAGCAGCAGCACAGCACCAGCAGCAGCAGCAGCACCAGCACCAGCAGCACCAGCACCAGCAGCACCAGCACCAGCACCGCCACCAGCACCACCGCCAGCACCACCCGCAGCAGCAGCAGCAGCAGCAGCAGCAGCACCAGCACCAGCACCAGCACCAGCACCAGCACCGCCACCACCACCACAAGCACAAGCACAAGCACAACAACGACCACAACCACAACCACAATAACGAAAACAAGAAGAATAGTAATCGTGATAATAATACGAATAAAAAAAGAATAATAACACTAATAATGATGATAACAATGACAATAAGAAGAAGAAGAAGAATAAGAAGAAGAACAAGAACAACAACATTAACAACAACAACAACAACTCCTCCTCCTCCTCCTCACCTCATCCCTAGGGCCCTAGGACCACCGCCACCGCCACCGACGGCGACGACTACCACTACCACTGTTACTACCACTACTGCTGCCGCGGAGACCGCGATTACAACCACGACGGCGACAACCCTGCTACTACTAGTGCTGTTGCCAAGCATCTGTCAAGGTTTGTATGTTTGTCTACTTTAACTAGTACAACTACAGATTGCAACGTCAGGGTGGAGTCACCTTGAAAGATACGTGCCCTGCAAGACATGCTGTGGCCGGCGCTTGTCCAGAATCCCTCGCCTGGCCAATGAGTTCGCTGCCTGGCCACAGTGAATCCAGCCAATTGCAATTGATTCTGTGACTCAAACGGCTGTCCGTGCCGTGTGCCTCAAGGCCTGTCACAAGGGCTCGCTCCTGGCAAAGCCCTTTGGCACCATGTTCCCGGCTGCCAAGACGAACCCAATCACCTGCAGAGAGCTAAGAGGAGACCACTGCTGGGGTGAACAGATTGGATGCCCTGCCTGCACACACCAAATTTCTTAGTGGGGTCTCCGTGGTTGGCCGTGACTTGAAAGAGCCAGGGGAGAACCAACTCACACCTCCGGGAAACCGCATGGCGTGACTGTCCACAACTTTGGCACTGCGGAATTCTGGCACTGCGCTGGGCAGCAGCTCGTCGGCCAGCAGCCGGATGATCTCCTCATCAGGCAGCGCGAGGAGGGCGCCGGCGTTGTAGAAGTCACAGGCCACCACGGAGCCTTGGGGCTCATCCTCTCCCCAAAGTGCCTGCTGGTCTGCCTGCAACTGATCCAGCATAAAGAAGGTTCCACCTGCGCCACGAAGAGCGCTAAACTTCGCGAAGACGTTTGCAGAGGCCTGAACATTCATAACGATGCACATGCAAGCACATGCAATTAGCGAACCTGGAACATTCTAGGATCTTTGTGCTTGTAGGGCCTGTGTGGCGACCTTGCGGTCAAACCAAATACGCACGGACATGACATCAATTCCCTGCAAGGATCCTGCAGACGTCAGGTTAGGGCATACCTTGGCAACCTCAGGGCTTCCGCGCAGCACGGCTCGCAGACCGCCAGCGCCCAGTGCCAGCACCACTGCATCTAAATCCTCCATCTGCACGGTCTGCATGCTTCCGCTTCCTGCGCTTCTTGACCGATACCGAAGGCCAGTCACTTCGCCATCGGCCACCTCGAGCCCCTCCACAAAACTGCCACCCTTCACGGTCAGGCCGTGCTGCTCTACCAAGTGGTTGATGACCGGACACATCAAGGTCTCGCTGACCGTGCCCTTCTTGAGCCAGCGAACATCGAAGGAAGTTTGATGGGCCAACGCATAGAAGTAGAGCAACTCCATGGTGACAGCCGCAGACAGTTCCTCCGGGGGTTTGAAGAGGCCGACGAGCAGCGTAGGCTTCAAGAAATCGTCGACAAGACGTTGGCTCAGTCCAGCTCTTAGAAAAAGTTCATGAGCTGTCATTCGATCATAGGCTTCGAAGGTCTTAGCATCACGGGTGAAATCGACCATGGCCAGAAGCAAGCCGGTGATGGAGAGCCGGTCTGCCAGTGGCAAGCGTCGAAACCTGGAGAAACTTGCAATGACTTGGCCCAACGGGCTGGGCAGCTCTGGTGCGCCCGCAAACACCGGAGCCGTCGCTTCCAGCCCATCAGGGCTGTAGAAGGCAGATTCTGTGAAGTCTGTAAAGAGTTCACTCTCGTCCAAGCCGATTTCGGCTAGCGTGGCGTTCATGTTGGGATAATCCCTCCAAAATCCACGAGTACCAGCCTCGAAGGGCTTGCCTGAAGGCGTTTGCATGCCGCTTCCAGGCTGTGGGGTGCCATCCAGCAAAGTCACTTCGCAGCCATTCTCGCACAAGGCCTTTGCGGCGCCAAGCCCTCCCCAACCAGCCCCAACCACGGCGACACGTGGCCGGGACCGGCCTTTTTCGCCTTCTGCTGCAGGGCTTGCCTGGGCCTGCAGAACGTGTCGACTTTGTTGCCTGGACCTGGACCTTGTTGCCAGCGCCATGCCCGAGCAAGCCAGCGATGCACAAAGAAAGATCTGGCCATCCTTCCCATGAGCTGAAGGATCCATTGCTCGTTGTATGTGTGCAGTGGCGCGATGTGTCGACGGCGTCGGTGCCACACTGCGTGCCAAAGGCATCCTGGCTTGGTGTATTTCCATTGCCGATGCCAGCAACATATTAGAGCGGGTGAGACTAAGGCGATGATCCACAGTCCTGCATGCCACACAACCGAGAGGCCAAGAGACACGATCAATCACTTGTGTCATCAGCAGTCCAAACCTAGTGTCGACAGATGCTAAGCCCTCAACACACGAACCTGAGCTGGCCGGCACGGCTGTCCAGTTCTTGCGCAAGCATGCGGGCTAATTTGCGGTCAGCACTCCTCAACAGACCGAACCGGGCTTCGACGACTGAGTTGGCAGCGCATAGCTGTGAGGCAGTCACTGCAAAGACTTCATGTATGCACCTGTCACAAAGCAGCCCAACATGCTCCTGCCCACGAGTGTCCCCTGTCCCGCTACCACAGCAGCGTCGCCGCAACATCTAGTCACAACCTAGTTGGCTCGACATGTGAAGGGTATGAAAGGCCTCAGACATGCCTTCATACGGAGGCTTTCAGCAACTTTCAGCATGAAGGGGGTGCATCTAGGATGCAGGCTTGGCCTTGTTCATGCCTGCATCCGACATTCGCATCATTGGCAATCAACATCTCTCTCAACCGCAATTCAGTGATGCAGCCGTTTCCATAGACTTACGTGCCAATCCGGGACATCCATGGTTCCTGCTGAGATTCATCATGTGAGAAGGTCCCAGGTGCCGTTGAGCTGTCGAACATCCCTGCTACATTACTACATGGACTGAGCCAAGAATCATGACGGCCGAAATGCATCATCTACTTTCGTCACTCTACACTTCATGTTCTCAATCCATATGCCATATGCATGTGAAAGTTTGGACAGCAACCTAATGTGACCAAATGCTGAAGCCGACTGTGCATCGTCGCACCGTGGCGCCCGTAGCCATTTCTCATCCTATTGTAGGTACGTCGGTGAAACTCGGTTAGCCTATCCAGACACCCACCCAGACCTACTGTGAGGATAGTACACTTGCTTGGCGCGTGCTTTGACTTGGGAAGCTGCAGGAACCAAGCTCCACGCCCCACTCAAATCGAAGCTACCGTACCATTCATTCTCCTTGGCTTTCCAAACATTTTTGTCGCAGGAGTCCTCCAGCAACTTACAACGGTTTCAGCTGTGCAAAAATCGGTCCTGGTCAGCGCACTTATTTTACGCAGCAGAGATGATTGTGAGGCACGAGGAACCACTTATGTAACTCTCTAATTAGATGCCACAAACTTGTAACTCGTTCAGCTCTTTGCTTGTGATATCTTGTGATGTTTCTGCGAATAGTCTTCCAGGGTCCGCAGACAGGACTTCTGGTGTTGAGCACTGATATGGGGCTTGCAATGCCTTGCGACTTTGGCACGTAGGCGATGGGAGTCCCGATGTGAATATATTTACAATTGCGCCACCTAAAACCTCATTCTCAACATTCGGGCCCTGCGTGAGGTGCATGGCAAACTACTCTCGATAAACGCAGGTGGCACAGTGCTGATCGTCACTTATCTTGCTGCAGCAGCTCGTGCAGCACCCACGCACAGGGCTTTCCGACGCTTCATGGCAAGCCACCTGCGAAGGCAAGAGCCATCTGGTTCGCATGCGCTTCATGATGAACAAGTACTTTCCTTGCAAGACGCAGTAAGCGTTTGCGTTCATGCTCTCCACTCGTGCTTTTTTGCTATGGCACGAGGTTATGCGAAACTGCACGACCGAGCAACCTTAAACTTATCATACAGCCATGTGAACGCAGCGAAGCGATGACATCACAACGAAACGAAGATCAATTTCGATTCTCTTCATGTGGCCTACTGCTAGATAAGTGCTGTTTGGTGCCTCTGGTACAGCTGCCATGTCTTGTATGTAGTAAACCACGCCAGCCTCGGTTAGATGAGCGAGACATAGCGAGACCAACCTACGACCTACGATGTGCAGCATGCAGCCAATGCATGTCAGCCTGTCAGCGTGTCCAGTTCACTGTCTGGGTTTGCGGCCCCGTGAAGATCGTTGCTAGACCGACGACCAAGAGCTCGGCATGCTCTGCAGCCTCGGCCTTGAAATCAGGTTCCTGCCTCATAAGATGAACATCTCCAATACACCTGTGTCGTGAATGCACCTCTTCTTCCGCCGTATCTGCTGCGTCTCTTGCCGCTTCCACCTCAACCATGCGGCCCGATGCAAGTCTGCCGAAAGAAATTCGGTGTTGCCAGCGGCATGCTTATGCTTTAGGGGGGGAATCGGGTCCAACAGTATGCGGTATGCGCATCATTGTCAGGTCCGTTGGATTCTGGGAGGCGGCACGTTTTGCAATGAAACGCAACAGTCCTCTGGCCAAACCCATGAGTCTACATGAGTATACAGTTCCAAGAGAATTTTCAGGACTGCTGATGGTTTTCCCAGATGCAGATCCTGTGGAATGCTCGCAGCCGACTTCGAGTCATCGGAGAACTGGAAGAGGGTGGGCGAGCAGATGAGCTAGCGGCTGCTGTAGTAACGGCATCCAGTGCTTGAGGTTTGAAATGCTTGAATAGTTTGTTTCGGAGCGGGGTCGGAATGGAGCGGAGTTCACAAAAGCTTGCAACAGCGAAGCCCGCAGTAGAGTCTTCCAAGTGTGCCCGAACACCGAATGAAGGCGTAAAGACGAAGAACCATGGCCACGTCTAGTCCAAAAATGCTAAAAACAATCCCAGAGCTGCCTCAGCCTGCAGCAGCTGTGCTCGATCTGACGCAGTCGTTGCTTCTGAGAAGCTCGTCGGATGCTGTAGTCGGCCTGGAGCGTTCTAAGGCAGGCTTACTCGTGTTCAACTTTCCGTCGGAGCCATGAGCGTGCCTGGGTCCAGATCCGGCAGAAAACTTGACGCTGGACGGAGAAGCAGACCAGCGCCTAGTCAGCACTCATGATGCATTGTGGTGGGTGTACAAGCCGAATCAGTGGACGAGATCTGCAGAAGCATGGTGAACCGGCCGAGTCAGCATCTATTGGCTCTCCTACGCAGCTTCGAACCTGAAGGTATCTCGCTGCCAAGGAATACGCCCGCCTCTCTCAGGGCCGCTTCTGGCATCCATGTGCGCTACATACATGTCTACAGTCTGCAGCATGAAACAGCATGCCAAAGCTGAAGCAAATTCCGCCTGGCTGCGGGCATTGCGGGTGGAGCAACTAGGCCAAGCAGCCATTTCTCCAAGGATGGGCCCACATCTCGCCTTGCAGAAGCATGCTCGGCACAGAAAGCTTCATCATTCTCAGCTCTCCGGTTCCGTCATGCCTGGAGAGGTTCTACAAGCAAGTGGGGCATGACCGGTGCCGCTCGTCAGTCAGAATGCAATTGTCAGTGCTACCTGCTTCTAAACTTTCTGGTGCTGCTATGAGTGGGTGTGCTGATGCCGTGGCTGTGAGCCTTGCGTGCCGAAGTACAAACATCTCATAGCTACAGAGCTGCGAAGTCGCACGCAACCGGTCTTTTGTTTCTGAAGTGCCGCTGACTTGAAGCAGACTCAGGTCAGCGGGTGGATGCAACCTTAAGGCGAGCATGGACCAGCGCTACAGCAATAGTTTTCTGGTAACCTATGCAACCACTCTCTGCTCAGCTAGTCAAATTCAATTCGTTGTGTCGGGATTTCTGCACCATTCCGCGTGCAGCAGTATAGCCGCGTATAACCATCAAACAAATCGAAGCCAGGCGTTCAACCCTTTGAAATCTCTCGGCTTCCAGCGGCCGCGAACATCTTGGACACCGGCAGATCTCAGGTGAGGTTCAAGAGGTGGACACTTGCAAAAAATGATCAATACAACAATCAAGTCTGCTACAGAATGGGCAAATACGTTCCGCTTCGTGCTGTGCGTTATCGGATGCGGATTCCAAGATGCGATTCGGCCAAGCTGCGCGCAAGGTCTCGAGGCCAATGGATGATGTCCGTGCTCACCTCGTGCTTGGATGAGATGCTAAACTGCATGTTCCTGTGTGTACAAGCCTTCACAGATCGTGTAACTAGTAGACATGTGGGGCTTGAAGGTGGCCGTTATTCGGTGTACATTGGGGCCCCGCCTCATGCACAAGAGAAAACGGATACGTAACTTGATCGCCAAAAAAGCATGAAATGTGATGATGCCTCAGGAAAAACCACTGGCGCGGACTCATTCCATGACATTTCTGCAGAGAAAACGCAGGAAACTGTCGAGGTTTTAGTATTCAAGGTTGGGCTTCGGGGATCAGAAAGAAGCAAACCCCTGTCGAAACAATCTTTCACTCCGGCTCCGAGCTTTTTCTCCCGAGTTCCATGGCCCGTGCACCATCGCTAAGCAAGGTAACTGGAACCTTCATGCACCCACTGTCTGCCCAAACAGCACGAACGGTGTCTCTCATGGCCAAAGCGAAAGTTGTCAACAACGTGCTAGCGCGGAGCTAGCGCGAAATGCCAAGACGTGTCCCCAAATCTCAAGCGAAAGAGAAACATGACCGGGAAACTCACTCGAAAAGCCCTGATTTAAAGTTTAGCGTATTTTGGGGTGTCGTGGCTTCCCAACAGCGGAAGTGTGCGTGCAACATATGCTGCCTTGTGAGTTGTCCCGAAACTAGCGTTGAGAGTCTGGTTCAATCACGCCGCTTACCTACAGAAACTCGAACGAAAACTCGAAAGCCACAGATTTAGGGTTAAACTGTGGGAGCATATTGTGCGTCTTGATATGTGTATTTTGCTAGCGCCAGGCTATCGCGGATCTAGCCGTGCCCAATATGGGGCCCCACCTCATAGCGAAGAGAAAAAAGAGGTCTCTAAACATAATATTGGCCACCTCTGCTTCAACTCTTTAACCGCCCTTTTTGGTGAAAGCCCATGTGAAACACCACTCTCAAAACCCCGAAACGAAATTAGACAAAGAACCGCAAGGGCAACTCAGTAAGCCCTAAAACATGTTTTGCTCAGGCTGTACAGCGCATGTGCTGTCTCTCATCGTGCCTCTGCCTTTCCATTCTTCACGTCTTTCCCCGCAGATCTCAGTGACGCAGCTGGCACGCCAAAACAAGGCAAACACATGACTTCGGACTGCATCTTTGTGGTGCTCAGGCCGGCAAGGAGTTGGCAGTACTTTACGTGCCCTTGCGAGTCGGGTGATGGTTCGCAGGGCGGAACGCAAAAGCATGACAACACCGACGAGGCAAACCATCACATGAACCGCACAGCCCCGGGCACGAAACAACGCTGATCCTCGCGCAGCGCGGGTGCGTCCCCAACATCGCAACCCACAGACTACATGAGCGAATGTTTGCAACGAGGCGCTGTCGCGAAAATGCTCTCACACAGATCCGAAATGGCGGAACAAATGTTCATCATAAGATGAAATGATTCACATCTCGTCATACGTGTATAGGTCCACGACCACGGCCCAGGATGGCCCAGGATTGCCAGAAGCTTCTACACGAGCGTGCGTGCGTGCGTGCGCACGTGGCGTGGGTGTGTGTGTGTGTGTCTCTGTGACTCCGTGTGTGCGTGTTGTGATTTCTGATGGGTTTCTGTAAAGCGGCAGGATATGCCAAAAGCAGCCCACCGTGCACGACTTCACAACTCGCAGAAATCTCTGAACCGCCGATGGGTGTTCCTTGCCCGGCCAACGCACAACTCGAGTCCAGTCGCAAGGAATTCTGAACGCTGCTGCCGCACCCCGAACCATTGCCCAAACGGTGACTGCTCTTTGAAGCAAGTCCAATCACTGCCCTGCACGTATTTTGTGAAATTTGACTCCCAAATTCCAAAGAAAGTCAGTCGCGACACATGCAGCACCCTTTATCTTTTCTGCAACCAGCAAGATGCCTCGACACTCAACCCATCGAAGACTCTCTGCAGGTTGAACTTGTACCAGTTAAATCCTAGACTGGTGCTCTTCCGAGCTTTCCATCATTACCGAAGACGACAGACTGAGAGAACGTCGTGTCTGAGCATCACAAATGACTCACGGCATGATTCATCTGCACGGCAATCGCATGCGTGAGCGCGAAGATGAAAGATCACGCTGCGAGATGCCAGAGACCACTATGTATGCGGATGGCATAATTATCATATGATGGAATGACATTAGCAACTTAGCATGCAGGAGTTGCCCTTACAGGCTCAAGGACATTGCGCAAACCTCACACTTGGGAATCCGCTCCCACTATCTATCTTCGTCGAGAAAAGCTGCGTGCAGATGGTGTGCATGCATGATCATGTACATATTTTATTTTTTACTTCCGCATTTCTCCTGTGCGAAGACGAAGCGTGGCTTCATTGTCGATGAAAGCGCTCGGTGTTTGGAATGCCCGAGTTGCAGGCCGAGGTTGGCTCACTCCAGGCCCTGCAGGCTGCGGATGGCGTCGGCAACCTGCACTTCCAGGAACACAGCGATCAGTTAAAGTTCAGATGAGAGTGTCCTCAGACCTCGAAGTGACTTGGAACCTGCTTGGCATTTCATGCAATTGTTGCGAACAGACTCGATGACCCACACGATGCTGCGAACTCGGTTTATCATCCGAGTGCAGTGTTTCCACCACCAGAGAAAGCCGGGACCGTATAAGGGGACAGGCAAGTTGGCAGCCAGGCACCCGTGCTGGTGGTGTCCAAAACAGCATTGATAGTGGGATAGACTGTAACTTGACTGCAACACTGCTTCGTTCCTCAGGACGCAACCTTCGAGCCAAGAAATCGCAGATCGTGGCCGAACTGAGAAGCCGTGATTCGGGAACGGTTGCCAGACCCAAGGGCCGGGCAGGGCTAAACTCTCAACGCTTCATTAGACTGTACAAGCTTACGTACATGTAAACTTAGAGTAGTTCGGCCACGCTCCTGGCCAAAGGAGCACGCCGCCAACAGCAGGACCTACCCCTCTCTCACATTCTCGAACCGTGCAACTTCCTGGATGCTGTTGCGTGTTCGAGCACGAAGCTTCAAGCTGAATGCATCAGGCCATGGTATCATGGTTGGGCCATGGATGCTCTGCTGAGCCCTGGGTGCTTTGTTCAGAATGCCTTAGAGACCATGGACAGTATCATGCCCCCACCCCCCCCATGAAGTCAGACTGCGTCAGACCCTGGTACCATGGTTGCCATGGATGCTCTGTTGAGCCCGTTTCGATTGCACTAGACCATGGGCGTTGTCATGAATCCCTCCCCGACCCCCGCCCCCCCATCGAGTCAGAATGCATCAGACCATGGTATCATGG